GGTGAAGGTGATGGTGTCGGTTGTTGCGCGCGTGACAGTCGCCTGAGCGGCTGACGTTGGAGTAATGTATCAGAAGGAGATTAAGGAGATGGAGGAGGATGATTGAAGTGGTGGTTCAGGGGAATTGTCAGAGTTAGTTTGTGCCGCAGAGGGTGAGCAAGAGGCGGGCGGGGGGACGAAGGTTGCGGCAGATCGAGAGGTGCAGTTGATTCGAAGTTGTCCAGGAAGTCCAATTCTAGCCCGGAATGTTCGTTGACATCGAGGACACGTTGGAAGCGGTTGTGCGGTGGCGTTGCTTACTGGGCGAAGTTGGGATTTGCGGGCTTCGCATTTCGCTTTGGCGGCGGCGATGCGATTCGCTTCGTAGATCGCAGCGCCTATCTTCACTGTCCTCCTCCAGGCCGGTCGGTCGAGTGCCAGCAGTTCCCAGTTGGTCGGGTTGATTTGTAGGCATTTCAGGGAGGACTTCAGGGTGTCTTTGTAACGGCGAATTTGGCCTCCTTGACGACGAGAACCCGTCGCGACGTCTCCTTAGAAGATTCGTTTGGGTAGCCGCTCGTCGTCCATGCGCACCAGTTGGCCGCTCCAGTGCAGCTGCATTTGTCTCAACATGGAGTAGATGCTGAGCATTCCCGTTCGTTCCAGCGCATCAGTGTCAGGGATGCGATCCTGCCAGTTCATCCTCAGGATGCGACGAAGACAACTGAGGTGGAAGTGGTTCGGTCGGCGTGCCTGCCTCGTGTACACCGTCCAAGTCTCCGCTCCATACAGTAGCGTCGGCAGGATGACGGCCTTGTACATCTTCCGCTTCGTGCTCAGTTGAAGTCCGTGACGATTCCAAACTGTGCTTTGGAGGCGACCGAAGGCTTGACTGACGTTCGAGATCCTGTTGGCGACTTCGTCATGGATCTTGGTGTTGCGGGAGAGAGTACTGCCCAGGTACGGGAAGTTCGCCCCCACTTGCAGTTGGGTTCCGTTCACGCTGATTTGCGGCGGCGCGTTGGGGACTGTGGCTGATTTGGATGGCGTTTGGTGCATCACCACCGTCTTCTGTGTGTTGATGACCAGACAGAAGTTCTCGCAGGCGGCGGAGAACAGGTCCATGCTGCGTTGCATCTCCGCTTCGGTGGTGGTGTTCAGGGCGCAGTCGTCGACGACGAGAAGTTTGTGGACGGTGGTTGTGGATGCGCGCGATTGCAAGTTTATGCGCCCTTGATTTAGCAGACGACCGTCCGTTCTGTAGGCGATGCGTATCCCGGGGCGTTCGTCGTGGTAGTCGTCCATCAGCATGGCAGAGAACAATTTAATTATCCGTAATATACCCCACACCGTTAATCCGACGCCATCAATTCAAAATTGTATGCATTCGTGTGGCTTAAATACCAGAGTAGCTAACACGAAATGACTTCAATCCAGAAGCAAAAACAAACCCCTCTTAGTAACCTTCTACTCACAGGCGGAAGTTGAGATTGTCCTACAAAATGCCGAAGTAAATAGAAGTCTGCTAAGCCCAAACTCGTTTATAGGTCCAGATTTGACACCTATGCAAAGACGTAAACTTCGGGAAAAAGACACCAGCTACAAATACGATAATCAGCACTCCGGTCCCCCAACTGAACCTTTAGCCACTACTTCTACTTCTAGCACTAATAAAAAGAAATACACACGCCAGCGTAAACCAAATGATAAACCCACAGCCCCCGCAGAAGGACCTCCGGCAAGCACGTCTGACTCTAGTTCTCATGATAAAAAACGCGCAACTGCAAAAGTATTTAGGACTGCTGGTCAGAAACAAACGAGGGAGGCACAACAAAATAACAACGTTCAACTAGAACAGAAGGATGATGCAGATCCCGGACCGAGTCATGCGACACCCTTAGATAGCAGTATAAGTTTTACTACATCCCCCAAGACCGATCAATCAGTACGAGAAAACGACTGCCAAACAAGACACATAAACCAAAAGGCCTTACTAAGCACACCAACACAACCAAAACGCCCTAGGTATGTTGACATAACAAATAGAAGCCCACCAAACTCTAACCAAAAACAAACAAGCTTCTATAACGGCATCTCGACTCCCCAAAATCCACCTGCCTGGCATAGTAATAAGCCAAACCACTCTAGCATTCCAAACTCCTTACCACCTTATTACAACCCTACAAATTACTTTGGCTTTTACACCTCCCCAACTGAAACACCATTTAGATACAATTACAACCTAGTTAACGCACCTCCCCATATGTACCCTCAGTCCATACACACTAGCCCATGCACTCACACTACGCCATACGCATCACCATATCCTCCAAGAATCACACATCTACCTCCATTTAGTCCATCACTCACTCAAAGTACCCCCAGAAATCCTTTTTTTCACCACAGCCCACCTCTTCCATATCCAACATCCTAAAGATAGCTCTAATAAATTCCACATCGATTGTCAACAAAATAACCCAACTTAGAACTTTTGTTGAAATATATAACCCCGATGTAATTTGCATTACAGAAACATGGGCAAATGTGCTTATATCGAATGCTTCACTATATGTCCTAAATTATAATTTCTATCGACAGGACCATGTTAATAAACGAGGCGGAGGTTGTCTTATCTACATCAAAACTAGCATTGAGCAAAGTGGTATTGATGTCCCAACTGAAACCTTTGCTGGAGAAGCGTGTTTTGCCACAATAAAATCTCATGCTCAGGAAAACATACTAGCCGGATGCCTTTACTCCCCTCTAGAATGTAGTAATGATGACACAAGCCTCATCCGCTTAGTAAACGATATAGCTAACATAAAAACTGAATATAAGATAATTGCAGGCGACCTAAACCGCCCAGAAATAGACTGGGTCGAATTATCAGCACCTACCAGGCACGAAGAATTCTTGTCTTCAATTATCTTTAATAACTGGACACAAATAGTTGACAAACCCACCCGAGGAAACAATATACTAGACGTTATTTTCACCAACGATATCTGGCCTCTCTATATACACTACGACTGCGCAACCTTTGAAAGTGACCACAAAGCAGTAATATCAACACTCCCCTTAAACGCAAAACTAGCACCCCATTTTAGTAACACCCGCCTAAACCCAAAAAAACTTGACGAGGACTCCATGAACAACTATATTAGATCATTGGACTGGAGCCCATATCTTCTTATAACATCCCCTATGGAAGCAGTTAACCTATTATACTCTGTCCTATTTGTAATTCGAGATACCTTGATAAACGAAAGACTACCGTATAAGAAATCACCAATCCCCAACTTCCTTTCAACTAAACTAAAAAAGCTACAAAAACAGCTACGCGACCCCTCTGTGAGTTATTTTCCACACTTCGACGAATTAGGGAAATTCACGACCTAGTCACGAAAATAGAAACACAAAAGACCATAGCAGCAGAACATCGGGCACTGGAATCCCCCGAACGAACAGCTCAGATGTTTCAGAAACTAATGAGTAATCATTGACAGCCAGGACCACGTACTATTATTAATGAATTAGGACAAGTTATAACCAATGATAAACAAATAGTAAACCTATTCACCAGATACTTCTCAGCTAACTACACAGTCGAAGAGGGAACCATCGCCCAACCGACCGAAATGACTGAACGCATCCTTAGTGAGATCCATTTTAGTGAAGAAACTGATAAAGTAGCCATCAAACACCAAATCCTATGGGACAGACAAAATCCCACCATGTATTCTGAAGCATATGACATATGCTCCAATACTCCTTTCTAAGTCATTCACCCTACTCCAGTCAAATGCAATTTTTCCGCATATGTGGAAGTACTCGACCGTTGCGCCCATATTTAAAAGCGGCAACCGATCTCAAACCCAAA